AGTTAATTCTACTCCTAAAAAGTTAGCAGATATGAACAGGAATTCAAGGTAGAAGCCAAGAAGCAGGGTTCCTTAGTGAGTCCACCTTACAGAACCTGAGCAACTTTTGGTTAGTTGATATGCTGAAGCATTTTTTTTTATTATTATTCTTATTGCTACTGAACTCAGCCATGGGGCAAGAAAAGCCATAGTCAAGGTGTTCCAGAGAAATGTTCTAACAAAATTCTGGGCAAAAGGAAGGAGCTTGCTTTTACCTGATTGCCATAACATACCTTGTGTTTAAACAGCTCTCCCGAAAAGGGAAGCTTTCATTTTCACCTGATTCAGTTGCATTCTGAATTTAGGGGTTTAAGACAAATTATACATCACCCAGGCTGCCTTCCAGCTGCAGAAAGGCAGACTCCCTCTTACCATGAACTGCCAAATCGGTGTATTAAGGACTGGGGGAAGACAGTTATTTACAGGGTGAACTTTGTAATGGTTAAGGGTTCTGGCTTGGCAGCCCTGGAGAAAGAAATCCTCTGTCCACAGACCAGCTGTCACACAGCAGGGGGAAAAGAAGCTTTTCCAATGGCTGTCAAAATTGAAACAGTTCCAAACTGGATAAGCAGCATCAAGCGGTGAATTCCAAGTTCACTCTCTATGGTCCATTCAATCTTTGGCCTAATGAACCTGGAAGCAATGGGGCCCATTAACACCGACTGTGGTGTTTCCATTTTACAGTGCAGATGGCACAAACAAGACTGAGAACCATGGAGTCACTGCACACAGGAAAGCAGGACCTTGACCTTTTTGATGGGAAAGCATCAGGCAGTAACTCTTCCCCATATGAGGATTCTCAGCAGAAATCTGAGGAAGTATTTCACCAAGCCCAGTTTTCCATGTGAATCCCTATTGTTGATTTTTGTATGCAGTGTCACTTAGATTAGCAAGGGCACAGTAGAGCTGCATGTAACTTACCTTTAATTTCTAACCACTGCTCATAATCCTCCTCTTCATCATCGTCAGGTGACTGAAACACACTGAGGCGGTTAGCCACTGGTGTCTGTTTGGAATGGGAGTAGTTCTTCATTTGGTTCAGCATGCTGCTCATGCCCAAGCTGGGACGTTTTCCAAGCAGGATGGGTTTCTTCCCAGCACTTGGTGCAGAGGTGCTTGTGGGGACACTGGCAGAACTAGGAGAAGGATCTCAGAAAAAAAGAAGGAAAGTTAATTTCTGTACGTTATTTCTGATTGAGTCTCAGGAAATTACACATAACATATGTAGTTGCATTACTGCAACAGTGGATTCTTTTTAGTGTAGACATAAAGATATTGCCAAAAACCTATCCAAGAACAATTGCATCGTTTGGTGCAATCTTTTAGAAAGTACATTTTACGCTCAAATAATATACTTATTTATAAAATTGCATCCTCGCCTATCACAAAGCAGGTACAACATGGATGGCAACAATACAGGATTTCCTATTATCATCTGCCTCACTAAAATATCTCAGCCTCCTCTGTGTTGATACTTAAAGAAATGCTGGTAACTATTCTACAGTCTTGCATATTGAGCATTATAGCATCTCCCATAATGGGAAAGAAGAAATGATTCCCGTTGCTCAGGACTTAACCTACCAATATTTGACTTTTCCTTCTGCAGTTTGAGGAACTGCTGAAGAAAGCTGCCATCATTGGCAAACTTGTTGGAAACTGAGGCTTCGTTTTCAGCACTTTCATCTCTAAACAGAAGGGAAAATGACAACACTTGATCATGCTTCTCTTGACAGAAAACCTGGTAAAAATGACAATACTTACTAATCTCTCAAGGCAAAAGAGAGGCACTGTTCTTAACTTGTCTTAACATCAAATACTGTTTAAAAGATTTTTGATAGATGAGATGTATATATTGGATTTATTTATTAAACTATGCCAGAACACTGTTAACGATTTAGCAGATGGAAAACTGAAGTAAAAAAATTAAGTGACATGCCCCATGAAATTAACAGTCTGAGTAGTGGTCAAAGCTAAGGTTAAAATTTGGGTAGTTCCTTGCCTTGCTGTCCAGGGCTCACACCATGTCTCTCAGCTACATGAGATAACATTTCCAGGCAGCAGAACCATGGAGTTTGTCCGCTATGGAATTACCTACGTGTCCCTCCCATGTCATTCCTTGTCCTTCTGCTTGCAGGTTTTCTGCACCACTTTTCTGAGGAGCGTGGGCATTTATTCAGAGAACTGTGCTAAGCGTAAGCCGCTTTCATTATACAGGTATCCAACAAAAAGCGCCAGGAAAAAAATGCCAGACCTGCTTACGACAACATGCTTAACTGTTGTGGCTGTTTCTGTTAGACTACAACAGAAAATCCCTATCCTAGCAAACATTCTCGTTTAACTACATTTAAAAAAGGAATGTATGATCCCAGTCACAAATGTAATGATTCCCTAACTAAAATTTAATAATGAGATATGAAGTGAATACCCACTCATTGGGCCGAGGGGGATGTTGAACGACCAAGTGATTCTGTTTTGCCTGCTGCTCCAATTTAGCCTCAATTTCTTTCTTCTTTTGTGCTATCAGCTCCTCTTGATGGAGGATGTTCATATTCATCTTGGCAGACTTGGGTGTCGTGACCCCAAACCATCGGCTAGCTTTCCCTGGAGAAAAAAAGTAGGTTAAAGGAAAGAGGCTTTTCACCCTGAAGTGGGTGCTGGGGATTTCTCACAGTGGATGGCCAATCACTGGAAGGGCACAAGGGAAATCAAACCAGCCACGTGTTACTTGTGCCATGCCTGATTTTTATGTGAACCCCTACTCAGGAATGTTGGCTCTGTCCATGAGCAGATCTCGGGGGGGAGAGAGGGAAGGTCCTAGCACTTTTCCACCCCTCATTGATTCCTGCTACACCAAAGTTTCAAAGCAACAGCCTGGCAGCAGCACCATCATTTCTAGTCAGGAAGTGCTCATGGAGTCGATTGACTTCATGGCTCATTGTAATCTTCTGGATCCCTACTAAGCTCTTTATTCCACAGGTGTTAACGGTCCTCTCTTCTTTTAAACCATCTTAATGTTCACCTAACCCAGCTACTTTGTGTTCTGCCATCCGTTCACTGCTCCTGCTCACAACACTCCTATTTCACAGCCCTGCAGATTGTTTTTAACTCATTACAATGATATTCCAATTGGTTTTTGCTTCAGTAGGATACCGAATCACACAGCTCTCAGCCCCTTGAGTATTAGTTAAGTTAGATTATTTTTAATTTTACAAACTGGTCGGGGGAACCAGCAGGCATTGGGGGAGTCCCTGTTCCCCCGAGCACTACCAGGAGTGTCAAGAAATAATGGTCACAAGCTGGCAGGGGTAGATTTAAGCTAGATATCAGGAGGTGCAACTTCACTGTCAGGGAGGCTAGGATCTGGAACCAACTTCCAAGAGAAGTAGTGTTGGCTCCTACCCTGGGGGTTTTTAAAAGGAGGGTGGATGAACACCTTGCCAGGGTTGTTTGACCCTGCACTCTTTCCTGCCATGGCAGGGGGTCAAGACTGCAAGACTGCTCCGCACTCTTTCCTGCCATGGCAGGGGGTCGGATTTGATGATCTGCTCAGGTCCCTTCCGACCCTACATCTATGAAACTATAATTGGAGAAAGAACAGGTATAGTTTTATAGGCGATGCACACAGCATACCTCACCCTCTGCATCCTCCTTTTCCAAATTCTCCATCTGTCTACAGCTGTGCCCCTAACATTCAACTGCTCACACTCCCCTTGTAGTGCGTGTGTGTATATACATCTCTGTCTCTATATGTGTGTGTGTGTGTCTCTCTCTCTCTCTATATGTGTGTGTGTATATATAGATGTGTCTATGTATACTGTGTGTACTGCTCCGAGGTGCAGCTGCCCTCTGGAGATGCTCAAGGCAGGCGCTTGAGCGATGCAGAGTGATGGCTGTCCTGTCCCCAAGGGTTGCAGACAAGTGGGGTGTGAAGGGACCTCGGGAGATCGCATCTTGCCCAAAGCAAGACCAGCCCCAGCTACATCACCCCAGCCAAGGCTCTGCCAAGCCAGGTCTTGGACACCTCCAAGGACAGAGACTCCCCCACCTCCCTAAGCCGCCCGTCCTGGTGCTTCACCACCCTGTTACCTAATACAGCATCGCAGACAAGGAGGGTTGAAGGGACCCCAGGGGGTCCCATTCCAATCCCCACCCCCCGGTTCTTTCTCCTGCTGAGACGCCAGATCCCCACGAGACCAAGCCCCCAGCCCAGGCTCCGTCCGAGGCCATGGATCACCCTCCCTGCCCCGGACAGCGTGCCCCAGCGCTCCCGGTGAGCGAGGTCCCCGACATCCCGCCCCTCGCCCCGTCACAACCCGGCCCGGGGGCGCCCGCCCCGCAGGCCGCTCACCTGGAGCATCCCTGGGGTGGTCCATTTTGAGGTCCGCGTCCCACAATGCACCCCGGCTTCCCAGGCTTCTGGGGAGGGGTGAGGGTAGGGGGGTGTTCCGCCGCGCCCACTCGTGTCCGCGGCAGCCCGGGGAGCCGCCGGGCCCAGCTCTAGGCCTGCCGTGAGGGACCGGACTACAACTCCCAGGCAGCACCACGAGAGGGAGACTAAATCTCGCGCGGCGTGTGGATTGGGGAAGAGGATAAAGTTTCCCAGCAACCTCTGCGCGCCCGGCCTGATTGGCTGGTAGGGGGTAGAAGCCTCGCGAGATCTCGGGCTGAGGGGAAGACTGCGCGTCCCATGAGCCTCTGCGTGCTGCCCCCCGCCCGGGCCCTGTGGTGGCGGCGGCGGCACTGACATGGCGGCGGTGGCTGCGGGCGGCTCGGGCGGGGCGGGCG